CTGAACCAAATGATAGGTGTGTTTAAGATCTATCTTTGTATAGATTCAGGCCTTCTGAGAGGCATCAAGTAAATCAGATATTAGTGATAACAGGTACTTATCTTTTCAGGTGATTGCATTTAGTCCTCGAAAGTCAATGCAAAGCCAAAGGGAACCGTCTTTTTTCCAAATGAATAGGACAGGGGGTTCCATAAGGAGGCTTTGAGGGTCGGATAAAACCTATAGCCAAGTGTTCGTTCAGGACATCTCGGATAGCTGATAATTCAGAATGTGAGAGAGGATAAACTGGGCCTAAGGGTGGATGTGAACCTTCTTCAATATCAATTTTCAAATTGTAGGGGCCTGTGAGGGGCAAGTCGATCAGCTTTTTGTTTACTGAAGACCTCTGTAAATTCATGGTATTTTTCTGGAACACCTTCCAAATCTGTGATCAGTTCAGCCACCAGGGATGCAAAGCAACCAGTGACTTCGTCAACTTTAAGATTGACTGTAAATGCTCAGGAGCCATCCAACTTGATGGCTCTCATAAAAGCTGTGGCATTTATTAGAGAGATGGGCAGCGGAGAGCTCGGATTTACCATGGGGCCAGAGATGCTGTAGAGGCCATATTTGCCAAAACAGGTGGAAACAGACCAGTCATATTGGGTGCCAGCAGGATTTGGAAATGGATACTGCCCAATACCCAATCAATCAACAGATTGTAGTGGGTGAGCCAGTTATGTCCTAGAACCACAGAGCAGCTCGAGTCCAACTGTGTTACAAAAAATGTAACTGTCTGAAAGGTTCCACATGGGAACCGAAGTCAGAGTTCACAGGCTTGTGAGATTACAGAGTTTGAGGTACCATCAAAGAGTCAGAGTAGAATCAGATCTATTGCATAAGTTTTTAACTGATTTTTTCAGGAAAAACTTGTATCTATAAAACAATGGGTTGAACCTGAATCTACGAGAGTTTGAAAAGAAAGACTCCCGAGGGGTTCTGAAGTAAGATTTATAAACAAAGAATTGGGATCATACAGAGTGGATGTGTTAAGATGCAATTTTCTGGTGTGCGGGGAGATTCAAAGCAACTCTCCAACTGCACAGAATCCAGAGAGTTGCTTAATATTTTTTTGACTCAGCAGCTGGCTTAGCTGGGTGTGAAGTTGTGACCATATTGGCTGATCAGGTTTTTGTGGCCTTTGGGGATGTGGCGACTCAGTGTCCGGGATCTGTGCACAAAAAACAAAGATTGTTGTCCATTTGACATTGCTTTTCCTGTGGTAGGAGCTTGCCGTTGGAGCTGAGTTTGCCAGTTAAGTCAGGTTTGTCTTTGTTTGTCTTGAGACTTATTTGACTGTTTTCCCTTGCCTTTTTTGTTGTTAGAACCCTTGTTGTTGGACTTCTTATTGGAGTTCAAGTTGCCACTATTGTTGGTGTTTTGTTTACCAGACTTGTTGGCATTCTTATAGATTATTTGGGCTAACCTAGATTATTTGGGTTAACCTAGACCATTTGGGTTAAAGAAGATCATTTGGGTTAAACAAGATTATTTGGGTTATGACTTAATCTCTGGGTTATGATGTATCCTGTTGTATACAAGCAAACTTTCAAATATATTTCATATAATTTAAATTTAGTTGGTTTAGAGAGTTAACCAGAACTATCTGGAGTACCAATCCCCATTGTGCAATTTATTCCAAAAGAATAATCTACAGATGATTGTTTGACTAAATTTTGTCAGATATACAGTGACTCAAAAAACCCTTCCAATGTTTGGTACTTCAGATGTATATCCTTGATAGCTCAGAGGATAAAAATGCAGAAATATCAAAAATATTTGTGAGCATGCTCTATCATATATAGATTGTGGAAATACAATTTCATTACATAAGCTCCAAATATGGAAATACTACAAATATATATATACAGGAGGCTCATTGGAAGGGTTTTTTGGTTGGCAGCATTGATGACTATAAATGGTTATAGTCATGTGACCTTGTTGATTGTTCACCTCCAACTGGGTCCTATCAACAAAATCACATGATGTCACATGATGTCACATGACCACATTGTGCTGCAGTATAAATACACGGCCTTTAGCAACTAGCAATATCCCAATTCCCAAAATGTGCACTTTGTCTCTTGCCAGCCAGAATCATATCCTCTCACTGCTTGATGCTTGCCATACAGCTAGCCACATTTTAGCTCCTACTGGTTATGGCATTGGCACAGTCTTTAGACTTTACTCCAAGCATTGTTGTCATCTCTCTAAGTCCATTGGTGGTCACCCCTCCAAGCTTTCCCCTACCAATATTCACTATGCACAGCATCTCATCAGCTCTGGGAAGGCCAACACTGCTTTTGATGTGGCCAAAGCTCTTAATAATGTCACCAACCAGTCCATCTGTACCCAAACTGTGTGCAATAGTCTCAATATGGTTGGGGGTCAATAACCCTTCCAATGTTTGGTACTTCAGATTTACATCCCTGATAACTCAGAGAATAAAAATGCAAAAATATCAAAGATATTTGTGAATATGCTCTATCATATCTATATTATGGAAATACAGTGCCATTACAGAAGCTCCAAATATGGAAATACTACAAATATTTATATATAGGAGCCCCATTGGAAGGAACTTTTTGTGATGTTTGGAGAAGGATTTGTGATATTACAGGGCTACATGCTGTGGGAAGGACCTGGGTATTCTTTCAAGATAGATGAGAGGATGGATGGGTACCTTTCCCTCAAGATTATGGAGGAGAACCTTCAAGCCAGCCTCAACTATTATGGAAAATATGTGGGTAATGTCATCTTTCAGCAAGATCATGACCCTGAACACACCTGCAAGAAGGCCCAGACTTGGTTTCAAGATAATGATTTTAATGTCCTCCCATGGCCAGCACAGTTTCCAGACCTCAACCCCATTGAATACTTGTGGAATCATAAAAAGAGGGGGATAAGGGATACTGAAGTTGTGGGAGAAGGTGGAGGAGGAGTGGAACAAGATTGATGTAGAGGTGTATCAGAATTTGATTGAGAGTATGCCTAGAAGGGTTGCAGGTGTGTTGAAGGCAAAGGATAGCCATACTCAGTACTGAATATTAGTAGTTTTGTGGGTCAGAGTTGTTGGCCAAAAAACCCTTCCAATGAGTCTCCTGTATATATATATTTGGAGTATTTCCATATTTGGAGCTTATGTAATGGCATTGTATTTCAACAATCTTGGTATGATAGAGCATATTCACAAATATTTTCGATATTTTTGCAATTTTCTCCTCTGAGCTATCAAGGATATACATCTGAAGTACCAAACATTGGAAGGGTTTTTTGAGTCACTGTAGGATAAATATTAATATTTTTGCATTCTTCAGAGTGATACCTAATCAACTGAATTTGATTAAATATTAATTTTACAACAAACAATATAAATATATATACTTTAGTGGATAAATAACTTTTAAAGTTTTGGGTTATCCTCCTCATGAGATAGTAGCATCCAATTTCAAACTGGTGGATGGGAAACCTGGGGAGTCTGGGGGTAGTTGATAGGTTGGGAGGACAGTCGGAAATCCCATGGGCTCTGACGAGGTCATTAGCATTGTGCTTCAAAGATGAGAGGTGGTAATTGAGTGGGATATATGCAATGTTACTGGGGGAGAACTTAGTTGATTTTTTGACTGGATTGTATATACAACATTAGCTAGACTATATAGACTGTGGAATGTATGCAATACCAAATCCAGTAATAATGAAGATCAAAACAAGTAATCATGAAACAAGACTAGTAAAGACTACACTAGGTGTTAGGGACAGAATGGAGTGGAGTAGGGTGCAAAATGTGACAGGTCATTTGACCATAATGGGAATGGAGCATAGTTAGAGAGCTGATGGGTTGTCCAGGCAGAGTATGGTTACTGGTGCGTGAAACAGAGTCAGATATAGACAGGTCTTGACATATGTGGGTCCCAGCAGGCACTCCAGTTGTGACTGTGCTTAAGTACCATATAGTGGGTTGGGTACATATGGGGTGGGGTCCGGAGCCTGGTGGGTTTTCCGGTCTGTAACCTGGTAGGTATAGAGAGTCAGGTGCATGTAGGATAGGGTCCAGAGCCTGGCAGGCTTTCCCATCCTAACACTGTGGAGCTTTACACTGGATGGATGAGTGTCTGACAGTTAGCTCTCAGACAACACTAAAGGTTTGGCAAGTGTTGCAAGCAAGGAAAGATAACCCTTCCAATACTTGAACCAGTCCCTCACAATGTAAGGTCTCTTCTTCAGAATAATACAGACAATGCCATGAGTCTGTCTTGCAAGGTGGATGGAGCCCATATGTCTTTAAAATACATGGTGGATTATATCACCAACATGGTTCCTTGATCCTATATATGGGAGGTGTATCACCCAGTTTTGCTCAGCTTTACATCCATGATCCTGCACAGGGGCATACATTACAGATAAGGCAGAATCACCGAGCAACTCAAAATCTAAACAATCAAACCTTTTCTGACTTGCAGGACATGATGGAGCAATATAATCCCTTTATAGCACTCTATCTCCAGGCATATGAGCAATTGAGGAGACTCCAAGGTTACATGTTAGACTGATCTACAGACTTGTACTGATCCCTGACAGTACAACTTTCTGACCAGTGATAAACTTGCAGTCATTGTGCCTGGAGATGGTGATACAGGCCATGGTGACCAAAGGGATATTATCATTCAGAGAAGGGGAGGGTCTTGTTAGAATTTGCAGGTTCGGAATATGCTTGACTCGGTTTGGGTACAAAGAACACATTGCAAATGTATGAAGTGTAGAGTACAAGTACCTAGTTTAAGTACCTACTACTGGTAATACTATACCCGGTTACCCATCAATCACATGCTACATTGTTCACAAACCCAAAAAATCTGATACTTGGAGTGTTGAATGAGTAATGGTTGACCTGGATATATTAATATCTTACTGATGACTAATCATCTCAGTAGTAACTGGTTCTTAATAGAACTACTCTTAATGGCCTGATAGCTCAGGGGTTAAGAGCACTAGACATGTAATCCAAAATTAGTGGTCACTGGTTCAAATCCAGCTCAGGTCAATATTTTCACCCTGATTATGTATTTATTACAGGTCTTTCCATTGATTGCATGATGGACAGGCCATTTTTACACCCTTAAATATGTCATACTCTTTTCCAGAGGTGAGCATGGTTGGTTATGGGACATTTCCTATGAAAATAACAATTGGCAGCCCCAGGCTGCATAACAGAATTACCAAGCTGAAGAAGAAAACAAAAGTTGAAAGGTGACCCAGTAATGAATATTATGCCTATTGCCTATTTCTTAAAGAAAATGAAGCCAAAACCATTTTTTATACACAAACACTATTCCAGCAGTACATCATCGATGCCTGGGCAGTCACAGAACAGAGCAGATTGAAATTTCTAGAGTGAAAATCAACCAAGGATATGTGTAGAACTCTACAACCAGGTTGTTAATGCTTTTTTAAATAATACTATTACCCAATAGTATCAGTCAGAGAGTCATACTCCCTTCTTCATTTACTGGCAGTTCACAAGATATGAGGCAAAGTCTGCAAAGTTCTTTTCAATTGCATGTGTAAGTATTGAAATGCTAGCTGCTTCATTACCATGACTGCCAATCCCAATTGGGAAAGATGCTGAAAATGACTACAGAGGGCCATATCTTTGGTAAAATGGTAGCACATATCCATGTCATTGAATTCCAAAAGTGGGGTCTCCCACACATGCACTATCTTATATAGTTTGAGGAGCAGGATAAGCCAAGGACACCTGCAGACATTGATTCAATTATTTCTGCCTGTTTTCCAGATCCTGAAACATATCCCAGACTATTTAATTTAGTAGGTCATGACCCATCATCCCTGTGGTCCTGATCATCCAAATGCTGCCTGTATAGCCAATGGTACATGCGGTAAATTCTTCCCAAAGGATTGGTGTGAAGCCACCTTGTCAATCAAGAAGGTTATCCATCCTACCTTCATCCCAACAATGGAAGGGTTTATCAAACTCCCAAGTTTACATATGATAACAGATATGTTGTTCCTTACTCTCCTATTCTGCTTCTCACCTTTGAGTGCCATATCAATGTTGAGTTGGTCTTTACCAATAGATCAATGAAGTATGTACATGCATAAATACTGTTACAAGGGCCCCGATTGCACAACTATGGAGGTTGGAAAGACACCAGATGAGATTAAACAGTATCTTGAGACATGATACATTAGTGCATATGAGTCTGTCTCGTGATTAATGCAAAATGAACTCCACACCCAGGTTCCTGCAGTAATGCCACTTCATGTCCACCACCCTAGGGAAAACACTGTCATTTTTGATGCTGATCAAGGCCCTGTTGAGGCTTTACAAAGAACAGAGTGTACTGGCACAACTCTAATGGCTTATTTTGAAGCTAATGCCAAGGATCTCATTGGGTACAATGGTTTCTGTGCCAGGGACACATTGTATATGGATTTTCCCAAGTATTTTATATTTGTAGCCAGGTAAATCATGGAAGCCATGTCAAAGTGGTTTTTCCATAGGATGCATCCATTTTGTCAATGCTTCCAGTGGTGAAATATTAAGGTGCCACCTCATTTGAAAACCTCAGGACTTTTCAGGATAAGACCCATCCCATCCCAAATTTCAATAAGCCTGTGTTGCATGTGATTTGCTTGAAGATGATCACCAGTGGAACATGTGTCTCAGAGAAGCCAGTTGCATACAGCCTGGTCTTCAACATTACAGGTTGTTCGTCATCATTTTGACTATGTCTTCCCCTGCACAACCCCAAGATCTGTGAAATAAGTTCAAAGAATTTATCTGTGATGATTTGGACTGGATCCTGAGGGTTAAATATGACATTCACAATGCAGCACCTGACACAATTTATGACTTTGGTCTCTATGAGATTGATAGAATTCTCCACTATTCTGGAAAGTCCTTTCACTCTATCCAACCATACCACAAATCACTCAGAATTGGGATCAGTTCATTGGAAATTGTCTCATTAAGGAGCAGAAGGATTATAATATTGATCATGAGCATGCCAATGCCCAAGCCAATCTTGAGAAGTTCAATCCTGAAATATTTTGGATCATTGTCCTGTTGAAAGTAATGTTTGGCCCCTTCCATTTCTAGCATTCCAAAGCTTTCTACCACTCCATCCTCCAAAATCTCCACAAATCATCCCACACCATTCCACCCTATAGAACCCCATACCATGAGATTATTTCCTCCTCCATACTTGACAGTTGGTGTTGTTGTTCAGTCAGATGTTGGTTCCTCCCATTCTTTCCAAACATACATCTTTCCATCAGATCCAATTCAGTTAATCTTAGTCTCACCTGTCTACAACACCCTTTTGAAGTCCTCCACAGTCCATTTTTCATAGTACTGAGCAAACTCAAGTCACTTCTGATGATGGGTCTTCTTCAACATGCATACATTCTTCTTTATTGCAGAGTAAAGTGGGAGTCCAGAAAGACCCAAAGATAATTGAGTCAGAAGACCTGGGGTTTTTGTTATGACCGTGTCACAACCTGACGGTCCCCAAGGTTATCACCACCTATTGACAATTCAGGTCATCGCTCAAGTCCTCACATCGGAAGCCGTTGGTTCCCCGACACTGACGTATGCCTTCGCGGTGATCAAACTCCATTTACACCCCCATCAAAATATACTCATACTATCTGGTTAAACTCTGATATGTCCCTTTTCATTATGATGATCTGTTCTACTCTATGTTTCACACATGTCTAAATATACTTGTAACTCTCGGACTTTTTTCCTTTTCTCATAATCCCGCTCTCGGTTAATGTACAGTCTCCGAACTAATCGTAACCATCCTGTTTCTAGTCAAGCTTATTTGTCAATACCGCTTTCCGCTCTTCTCCTAGTTAGTGTTTGTTAGATGCCTGATACTTGTATATGAACCCACTGTAGTCATAGTTGCTAGGAAATCAGAATATCGACTCAGAATACCCTCTTACATCTACAGAAGTCTCATACTAAGTACTCCACTATCCACCTTCGTGTGTGCTCACCCACTCTCAGTCCCCGACCCCTTGGCCCGACACTCAACTTATCCCTCAATTCGGATCAGTAGTTTCACCGAGAGGTATTCGTTAGGACTAGTCTTCGCCCGCCTGACATTTAAGGACACCCAATGGATAACTGCGAGGGCACAGCACATAAGCTGAAGCCAAGTCCTTCCGATCGGTCCCTGTTGGTCTACCGACATTAGTCAGTTTTTGGTTCTTAACAGTTTTCAAGAATACAGTATGCTATGTTGTTAAGTTTGAATCCCCACAGGCTCTGAGAATAGATAGATGCAATTGAAAGAACAGAGGTAGATATTGAGCTGGAGATAGTTGGATACTACATTGGGTGCTAAGTTGGTACTAAGTCGATATTCTGGTTGTAATATAAGTAGAAACAGGTCTCGGACAATATAGGACTAATGATTATTGTACAACTGATACAGTAAGACAAAAGGATAGAACAGGTGAACAAGAATGATACAGGATAGGCTTTATTGGGAATCAGGATTTAAGATACAAATAACACAATAAGATAACAAATGAATCCATGTTAACCAGACCAAAGGGGTAGATCAGAACAAGGGATCTTCTAGCATTTAGAGGGTCCAGGATGTCTGAGTGGAGTCTTGGTAATAGACAATCCTAAAATAGAGAGATGTACTTATGGGATAGGATCTGGAGCCCAGTGGGTTTCCCAATCCTAACAAATGGATTTGTAGTAATATATCCTTATATCCTATCTAAGTTCGAATTATTTGTTTTTTCATTGTTATTAAATATATAGAATAGAATAGAATACATAACAATAACTTTCATGGTATTTTAATGCAAAATAATAAAATATTTTATACACTAAAATGACAAGCTTTTGTCATACACATGGTTCAGAGATGAGATCTATTAGAAAACCACCCAAACACAGTAAAATAAGCACATATCCAAATAAGGAAAATATATTTAAGTTTATAAAAGATCATGAAGGAAAATCACTAGAATGGAAACAATGCAGCTTCATTCTCGGAACTTCAAGCTACCTTGCACTACTCTGCATGTGGTACTAGGAATATGATTGGACAGCCTTGCTCAACTACCATTTTACCTTCCATTCAAAGTTCGACCTGCAAGAGCAATACCTTCTCAACCACCCCCACCCAACAAATCTTCCACCACATGTAGTGGGTCTGATTCATCCAAAGCTTTGTATTGTTTTGACGGAAGCAAGGGCTAAGAAAGCAGAGACGCTGTAAGTTGCTTTTCATATATGACGTCGGTCCACATGCTCACACCTGGTGATTCTGTCGATTGTTATATGACCGACCTGAACCTTGTGCTGCTTCCTTGTTTACACTCCATTAGTGCCTATTGCACACGTCTCCTGTACTCCACGTGGGACCCCACTGTGGATTGTTATTATTAATCGGAATACTGAGGAAGGATTCATATTCGCTTTGTTTGTCTGTTTTTCTTTTTATTTCTTATAATATTCTTTAAAATGGGAAGGGATACGGACATGCATTATCAGATCATATCATATTGCCAACAACAAATGCCATGACAAGCACATCCCACACTCCATCCACTCTTTCTCCTCTCCCATTCAAACACAAGCCCAAGCCCAAGCCCAGCACCCATGCCCGAATACAAATCAGCCAGCTTTACATCCTCCACATAGACACAGATGAAAATACAATGCTCCCACCCCCATCCCAATCACAACCCCAATTCTCCACAAATAATCCATGACCCCACTCCCAGGGGATGCATACAAGGAGTTGTAGCGTGGGGGCACAGCTGTGGAAAAGTGCACCTTTGGATTTCGATTTGCATTCACAGGGGCTGGGACACGGACACAGGTGGAAGAAGGAGGGTCTGACGTTCAAGTGTGAGAGCTGTGCCAAGGTGTGTGTTTTATTAATACATACCGACATTAAAAGGTTTGCCGGCACCCGAGCTGTCTCGTCAAATACCCCTAGTGTGAAGAGTCAATAGATTCTGACTGCTCAATATATGAAGAATAGT